TTTTAATAATTTTAACAAAATAATTAATGACTATAACTATACTTAAGTTATATAAGTGTAATTATAGTAAAACATAAAAGTATTAAAATTACATAGATATTTTTTTTATAAATAATTAATTATAATATTTAAAAATATTAACTTAAAAATAAACTTTAACTAATTAAATAATAAATATCACTAATGTTATTATTATTTTTTGAACATCACTAATTTTATTTATTTATTTATTTATTTTTAATAAATTCACAAGAAAGCAAATTTGAACCGTTGCCCTGAAAGTGAAAAAATGCACTTATACGTTATCTAACGTTATTGGATCGAAAAGCTCAAGTGCCACCAATTTTATTATTTATTAACTAATAATTATTAAATATTTTTAATAAATAAGCTAAACTAAATAAGTATTTTAATACTATTGCATGTGATTGAAACCATTGCTAGGTTCCGTAACTGCTTGGGTTTAATCTTCCATTACTATCATGAACAGTGGAACTATAAGGTAGCTAACAAAAACCTACAATAGCGTAGCTATATGACAAATTTGGATTTTAGACTGGAGAGTGGAGAAGGTGACTCAACCCCCACTATACTTCTGAACACAAAATTTTACTCTTTTTTTTTTTGAACATGCATGAGAAAAACACAAAATTTTACTTGAATATCTTTTAATATATATATTTTTATCATGTATTACTAAAAGTTAATTATTTTTTATTTTTTAATTTATTATATTAGCATGCAATAAGATTTAAATTAAAATTTTTTATTTTATAAAAAAATTAAATTTAAACAATTTAAGCAATTAATTTTAATTTTTTAATTTAAAATCATATAATGAGAAACACTTTACCGATCTCATTTTCATATGGATTTTTATAATTAATATATAATTATAATTATTAAATTATATAAAAAATAAATTCTAATTAAAATTTTATTGACTAACTAATTAAATTAATAGATGTAATATTGGTATTAAATTTAGAGATTAATATGCATTAGTTTTGATTTTTTTAAAAACAAAATTAGAGTCTAATATAGTTTTAAAAATCAAAATTTTAATTCAAAATTTAAAAATTCACTTTATTAAATATTAATATCTAAATTAAAATTTTAATTATATATTCTAATATAATCAAATTTTAAATTTAAATATCAATATTTAATAAAATATATTTTTAATTTTTAAATTAAATTTTAATTAAATAAAATGATATAATTTTAATTTTAATTTATTTTAATAATTAAAACTAATAAATATTTTTTCTTAAATTTAATATCAATTTTTTAAAATAATTTAATAATTAAAAATGTATTAATTATTCTATTAACTTATATCCTTGAGACACAAATTAATTACATTAATTTAGTATTCAAATTACCAACGACTTGTTGATCTAAATAAAAAAAATTTAATTTCTTTTAAATAATGTCTTAAATCTTATAAATGAAAAAATAAATATTAAAAGTGAAAAAGACTTTTCTTTTATAAAATTTAATACGATTCAATTTAAAATTATTTCAAAACTCATTAATTTAATGCCAAAAAATAAAAAACTTACTATTTAAATTTAAATACTATTTAAAAATTATTAGTAATTCATTTAATTACATTATTTACTTCTTACTGGCCAATTTGGTACAACAACAAAAATACAACCGATAAAAAGGAGAAGCAGCACAGGCACAATCCACAAAGCTTGAATTGAAATGACCATTCACCCAGACAAGAACCACTTCCCCCATTTTTCTTCATCTTTTTAAGAGTTTAAGGCCTTCATAATTGGACCAAACCAGGCAGGAGCAGGAGCAGGACCTTTATTTTGTTTCCCTCTGTTTCTCTCCAATGTTGTCATCTACGGGTGTTGAAGAAGAATCCACAATCCTCAACCGGGTTCCATCCTCCCTCTCCTCTAAATCATCATCTTCTTCCTCTTCTTCATCGCCTTCGCCATTGATGCCCAAAACCATGGAGGAAGTTTGGAAAGACATAAATCTTGCCTCCCTTCACGACCACTCTACTAACCCCAGACTACAGACCATCCCTCACAACTCAAACTTCATCCTCCAGGACTTTTTCGCTCGACCCTTCACCAAAGACCCACCGTCGAGTACTCACAGGGAGTCCAATCTGTATGGGACTCCAGTTCCGCCACCTCCGGCCACTGCTTTAAGCTTGAACTCCGGTCCTGGCTTCGATTTTCTGGAGAACTCGCGGATACAGAGTAACGCCATTTCGAATTTGTCCGTATTCAATTGTCCCTTCGAGGCTCTGGCTTCGTCTGCTAGTTTGGCTTCTTTTGGGAAGAAAAGGGTCCCAGAATCCGATAACAATTCCGGTGATCGGCGGCACAAAAGGATGATGAAGAACAGAGAGTCCGCTGCCCGGTCAAGGGCTAGAAAACAGGAAATGCATCTTTTCCCATTCCTTAAACGGAAACCGATTCTCTTGCATATCCTCATTCTGAAATCACGTTTGTGTCTTTTTTTTTTTTTTCCTGTCCCTTCTCTTACAGGCTTACACAAACGAGCTGGAATTCGAAGTGCAACAGCTGAGGGAAGAGAATGCGAGACTCAAAAGACAGCATGAACAGGTAATACTAAAATTTTGAGGAAAGAATCTAAAGGCGTAAAAAAGGACCCACAAAATTTTGTTCCCATATATAGATTTTGCAAATTTTATTTTATTTCCAAAGGGATCGAATTGATTTTGCTCATTTTCATATATAGAAAGGAATTAACAGAACACTCTGTTTTTGGGCAGTTACGTGTAGCGGCAGCTGCGCAGCTTTCCAAAAAGCCCACGCTTCAACGGACGTCAACCGCACCATTTTGAGGAAACTCTCTCTTTTTTAGAATGAATCATGAAAGTAAGGTGTAAATTTTGGGAGGGTTTTGTAATGGCAAAAATGGGGTGATTTTGGGTTTGTATGAAAAAGGTGTTTGTAAGTGTTTTTTTCAAAATTAAGATGCAGGAAGAATTTCAAGTGATGGGTCTTTGTAAGATTCATGTCATACTGTAGTAATAACTATTTTTCTTCCTCTTGACTTTTTTTTTTCTTTTTCATTTCATATTGGGGAGGGATCTTTTTACAAGCTTCTACTGTTTTTTATAGCGTCCAACTTTCCCCACTGGAAAATGGTTGAACAAACAAGTGATGCTGTCAGGGCTGCACATGGCCGAGTTCCTACGGCACATGCACCTTTGTTTGAAAAACTGAAGTTTAAGACATAAACAGAGATATGCCCTTTCTTCTTGCTAGTAAGTAGGAATTCGGCAGGGACTCGATGGGCCGTCCTGATATATATATGATGGAAGGATATCAACAGATTTTCCAGTGGAGCTGCGGCCGGTTTGTTATTCTAACAATTGCAATCCACCGATCACCTGTTTGAGCACGTAGCCGGAAATATTCCCAATTTCACGATGATCCACAAATTCACTCTTTTTGAAACCTTGGAAAACCAAATTACGAAACTCTAATTTTTGCTTTGTCGTCGACCAATTCCTGCACCATGAACCCAAATCCGCAAACATGGTTGCGATTCCTACAAACCCCATTACCCAGAAGGTCCTGTACAGATTCCTTAGTCCGAGTATATTGGCGTTCCTATTGTCATGGCCAAATCAAACAATGATTTCCTAAACGCGACGAGGAAGAGAGGACCCCTGATACCGTGGAGTCCTCCATCACTGTCGGAAGGACATGAGGCGCATGAATTTGGTAGATTTGGTTATCCTTTGATTATCTAGTTTATTCATTTTCTATTTTGGCCTTTGTACCTTGTTTTATTCTCCGATCGTGTTTATGCTTTTATTTTGGCCATCTTCTTTATGTTTTGTTTGGTAATGTTTTTTTATAGATATTTTTATATAATATTTTATTTGAAAATAATTTTCATTGAACTTTTTTATTTTTTTTTACTAATATTAATTAATATCTTATATTTTTAAGTAAAAAATTTTAAAAAACTTATGATTATAGTTACAATACAATATATAATAGCACTACTAAGTTGTTTTACTTGTTAAATAGAGCTAGTTTAAATAGTCTCGAATTTCAATTTTGAAAGATATAGACATTAGTATTTCAGTTTATGAAATGAAATTGCATGATTGTTTTTTAGTTTGATTGCAATCAGGGTGAAAAGTGAAAAGATAAGCTTAAATTATTATTATCCAATGAGATTTGTTTTGAATCATAAATGAATAAAATAGATAACTAAATCGGATTTGAAAAGATACTAGTAGTCAATTTTATTTGTCACAACCCATTTGTTTAGGTAAAATTTTTGTATAATATATGAATGATAATTT